TTATTAATCTAACTAATAAATAGTAATTAATTTATATAATTATAGAGTTTTATTTTAAAATAATATAATATTTAATAATTTTTTAATAAAAAATATCTTTAAAGTTTATAAATTTAATTTAGTCTCTCTATCATTTCAAATAAAATAAATAACTTAATATAGTATAAAATAAATTAAATTAAATTAAATTAATATAAAAAAATCTTAATAAAAGTTTCTATAAAAAATATTTTTTTAATTTTTATAAATTAAATTTTAAATATATTTAAAATTAAACTTTATTTTTTAGAGATAATTTTTATTTTTATTATAAATTTAATTAAAAACTTTTTTTTAATTTATTATTAAATAGAAAGATCATAATATAATCAATAAATAAGTAAATTATATAAATGAATAAATTACTTCTTATTATTTGTACAATGAGAATATCTTCAAAGTCTCAACTATAAAGAAAAACTAGCAAATTATATTATAAATTATTTTCTATATATTTAGAGTATATATAAACAGTATGCTCAATAATTTCATAGATATTACACTATGATTCTGCATATTTTTATGATTATAACTCAGCAGTCTCAATTACTCTCTGCTCTGATTCATCAATTTTTTATATATAATTTAAGTTTTTTTCAACTTTCAAAATACTTTTTTGAGCTATATATATATAGTTTCTTTCTTGCTTTCTTTTTTATTTAATATTTTGAGCTCTTAACTCTTTATTTTTAGCTTCTAAAATAGTAGCACTGTATATTATCATTTAATATCTTTTGATCAGCTAATTTAGAGTATGATTGATTGAACTGAGTGAGCTCTATATACAGTGTTTGATATATTCTTTAACTTCCTTAGTCTGCTACTTTAATTCACATATATTATACAATGTGACTATCACTCAGAAGATCTGAAAGCTATAAGAGATCTCTGAAAAGAGGAGAATATGTATCATAATATTAAGCTGTAAGAGAATCTGTTTAGAATTGTACAAAATCAGCTGAACAGCTTTAAATCTACTTTTAATATTGCTCTCAATCAGAGCCTGCATCTGAACTGCAGAATAAAGACTCAAAAACTTTTTCTTATCAATATAATTAATTTTAAACTGTATCTGATTTTCTATCTGCAATCTGTATATAGTTTTCAGAGATAAAAAGCAGCCAGCATTCAATAATTGAAGAAGATAAAAGAAATATGATGATATAGAGAGAACAATGATTTAATGCTCAGTGAAAAATTGATTAAATTCAGCTGAGATATGACTTTAATATCAGTCTAGAATCAATAGTCAATATCTGTTCTTTATATGAGATAGAGTCTTTTTATTAAACATTTTTTTTAGTTAATATAAACTCAGTTGATCAATGATTTAATTTTTCTCACTAATTTCAATTACTCAGTTGCATGATAGCTCTTCTGTCTCATATCAGCAGAATTGATGTATTTTTTCTTTGAGAATAATCATTATATGCAAGACTTAGTCAGTTGCATTGACTTCAGCAATAACAGTCACTCATTTTTGATCTTCAGACTGTACTTATAATATTAAAGTATAAGAGAATCTGCTCAGAATTGTATAAACTCATCTGAGTAGCTCTAAATCTACTTTTGATGCTGCTTTTAGTCAAAGTCTGTATCTGAACTGTAGAATAGAGACTCAGAAACTTCTTCTTATCAATATAATTGATCTCAAACTGTATCTGATTTTCTATCTGCTATCTATATGCAGTTTTCAGAGATGAGAAGCAGTCAATATTCAATGACTGAAGAAGATGAGAGAAATATGATAATATATAGAGAGCAATGATCTAATTTTCAGTGCAAAATTGATCAAATTCAGCTAAGATATGACTTCAGTGTCAGTTTAAAATCAATAGTTAATATCTGTTCTTTGTACAGAATAAAGTCTTCTTATTGAATAATTTTTTCAGTCAGTATAAGTTCAGCTAATCAGTGATTCAGTCATTCTCACTGACTTCAATCACTCAGTTATGTGGTAGTCTTTCTGTCTCAAATTAGCAGAATTGATGCATCTTTTCTTTGAAAATAATCATTATATGCAAGACTCAGTCAGTTGTATTAACTTCAGCAATAACAATCATTTATTCTCAATCTTCAAACTATACAAGTTTAAAATTCTCAACTCTTTCAGATTCAATCATCATTCTAATAGTCTCAATTACATTCATCTGAAACTCTATCTCATCAAAGTTAAAAATATCATTGTTCAGAATTTTATACTTCATAGTAGTGTTTTGTACAAGTTTAAATTACTCATAGATAATTTCAGAATTTTCACATATAGTTTGCTGATGATCATACTTGTATAAGAACTTGAATTTCAGCTCATTATAATGTTTGACAAATTTTCATACTTAGCATTCACTCACTATGAATGAGAAGTTAAATTCTCAACTGATAAGAAGAAGATTAATTATTTCTTATACAGCTATAATTCAGAAAGACTGATTTTACTTATTTATAATTAAAATTCATTAAACAAAAACTTCTTTCTCTGTAAGATTTAATTTTTAGTTTGTTAAAAAAGTGTCAACATGTACTGCACAATCATATATATCATGAGTTAAAGTTGTATAAAAGACTTCATATATCTTTACTGCAGCTTATACACTTGAAATTTAATTCTTTTTAAGTGCTTGAATGATTAAAAGCAGTCTTTCTTTGTAAGTAGAGATATTATTTCTTTGTATGATTAACATTTTTGATATAAAGCATTTCTCATTGTATGAAGAGTAAAAAGTAATTCACTCACTTATATGATTTACTCACTTATTAATTAAATTATTTAATTGATAAATTAAGTATTTTTTTTTTCTTTTATTATAATTTTATTGTTTAATCAATAATTTATTAGAATATATTTTGAATTTTTAATTATATTATAAAAACTATATCTATCAAAGTTCAAAGAATCTTTAAATTTTTTTATATATAATTTAAACTAGTTATATTTAAATTTCAATTATATTATAAAGAAAAATATTTTATTTATATTTTATTAATGAAAATTTCTATTATAATTTTATTTTATATCTAGTATATTGAGTACTTTTCTTTTTCTTTTTTCAAATCTTTATTTATTTATCAAGATATGGTTCTTTAATTATTTTTTTAATAAATAATTAGAATATAATTTTTTAAATTACTTTTTAAGTTCCAATTTTAATTTTTACTATTAAATCTACTTTTTTATTTTCTAGAATATCTACATAATTAGATATTCAAAGTAAGTAAATTTGAATATTTTTATTTTTTATTTTAATTCTTTTCACTATAAATTAATTTAAAATTTATTTAATTACTTTAAATTTCATATTTTTAAAGTTTTTTAAATAGTGTTTAACTATTTGAAAATATTTAAATATTATCAATATTTATATTTTAGAAGATTATTTTATAAGCTATTATAAAATCTTTTTAAATTATAAATAATTTAATATTAAAAACTCCTTATACCCTTTTTTTAGATTTTATAAAAATATCTTATAT